ATCTATTGCCAATCTTCCTCTTTTTTTCTTTTTTCTCCCCAAAGCCACAGCACATTGTTGTATATCCTAGTTGAAGGTCCTTCTAGTTCTTCTATGTAGGATGCTGTCTCAGCATGGCTTGATGAGTGGTGAGTAGGTCCGTGCCCAGAATCCAAACCCACAAACCCTGGGACGCCAAAGCGGACCGTATGAACTTTACTGCTACACCACCGGGCCGGCCCCAGGTTGAGGAATTTAGGTGTAGGGTAAGATTAATTCAGTCCTCAAGGGGGATCCATGTGGCATCTGCATTACATATCTATGATAATAATATTAATAGAGCGCATTTATTGAGCAATATGCTAAGTGTTTTGTATATGTATTATCTCATTTGATTCTGTTCTCATAACAACTGGGACAGGTAAGGATTATTAATGCCTCTACAGGGTTCGTTCCTGTTACAATTAAGTTCAATTTTTTTACTCCATTCTTAAACTAAATAATAACTGTAGGACAGCATACAGTTCCCTGAACCAGACAAGAAAGGAAGCTAAAGGAATCAAAAAGAAATCAACGAAAAAGGAAACCCAGGTGCAGAGTCTGGCAGCCTGACTCCTAAGCCTGTGCTGTTGGCCACTATATGTTCTCAGTCTCCTCCCCTCCTTCTTCCCCTCCCCCATTCATCCATCCATCCATCCATCCTTCCATCTTTCTGACTATATCTATATCCACTTATAGACATAATTCCTCTTTAGGTGGGAGGTTGGATTAGATAACCTAAAAGTTTCCTTCCAGCTCTCAGGTTCTATGAGGTGTATTTTACCTTAGACTATATTGTGATTATTTTTGGCAGGATGTTGATCTTCCTAATGAAGTTGCTTGGACTTGTTGAAACATACATTTCAGGGCTGGCATGGATCTAGGAGACAGTCCAGTTAAGTCCTCCATTTTATGAGTGAGATGAAGTGACTCACTGAAGCTCACATGGTCCAGAGCTTTGCCAGGATACCATCCTGCTTCAGATTATTTTGAACTTTGGATACATGGCAAGTGGTAGATAAGGCTAATGATCCAGGTAGGCAATGAGCAAGAGGGAACGAGGGCCTAGAATTGGAACATCACCCGTTTTTACCTCACTTGTATGCTACGTCAGTGATGACGATCACGACAGTGGTGGTGATGGTGATGATGGCGATGACTCCTACAATTCATAAGGCCCTTATATCAGAAGGGATTTGGAGAGGTCATCCACTATACCTTCCTGCCTCCTGCTAACTAATGCCTGATTCATTCCTGAAAGATGCCTACCCTACTTTTAAAAAATGCTCCAGGAATCTTAATACCTCTTCTAGCCCCATCTCTTTCTGATTTTAGCCCAAGTTCCTTCCTGTTATATAAGTTTACTCTTTTCTTCCATTTTAAAATAAATATGTATACAATTACATTTAGTTCCCCAAACTACACAGCAAAAGGAAGTTAAAGGAAGCAAAAAGAAGCAAATTGTACGGTCATGGGTAGCAAGAGACTGATAAAAGGGGAGCTGGGTTTGGGAACACAGACACTGGTTCAGCCTTCACTGAGACACAAACACCACATTCACGCTGATCTCTTTCTTTTCAAATTCCAGGAGTCATGGCGTGGGTGAAGTTGAGTCACCTGGAGGGTGTGCCAAAGCCTAGTTGTTACTTTGCACTTTCATTTGCAGCAAGATCTCTCCCCTGTCCTCTCAGAGCTGAATTGGGTGAGCTCTTGGCTTCCAACTCTTTCTACATTTGCTCCCTTTGAGAAGGAAGGAACAAGACCCAGAAGACAATACTATCATTTATTGAGTATCTACACTGTGTCAAGCACTGAGCTTTACATATTTATATCACTCATTCATCCCCAGATCTTGAAAGGATGGTCTTATCTCCATTATACAGATGAGAACTCTGAGGTTCAGAAAGTTCGAGTTCCAGGTTCCCTGATTGTAAGTGATCGAGTTCGAACTAAGCCCAGATCTGTTATGCTCCATAGTTACTCCCGTGAAGGAAAGGAGCTTGGGAGCATTTTAGCTGCATTCCTCCCTAGATTCTGACTGAGATGGACAGGATTTCTCCTGCTCATCCCCCTGGTCCCCACCTCCTCTAATCTATGAGCCTACAGCTTCATATTCTGACAGTACGATCCTTTTCTTCCTACATGTACGATCATGGATCAAGGGTTGGAGTGGTTCATCTCACATGCTTACACACATTGTAGGCTCTTAAATCTTCACCTCCAGCTCTAACTCATAACATCACAAAGGGCCTGCTCTCTCTTCTTTCACTTGCCCTGCCTTCCATGGAATAAACATCAACTTTTGCACACCTGCCCACCCCCAGGTTACAAGGTGGTCTCTGCTGGACCACACTTCCCACTATGTAAGGAGGCACCTGAGAGGTGCCTGGGCCCATCCCCTGGCCTCTGCGTAGGCTAGCAGGGGGGCCTGCCCCACCGCGTTGGAGTGCAGAACTCCCAGGTAGCACATGAGTGGTGATTCAGAGGAGCAGCTGCCAACACATCTGAGAGCACAGACCCACTGTGCTAGTCTGAGCAGAGGCCAGGCGCATGGTTTGCTCCCAGCAGCAGTGAGACTGCAGCAGGTAAAGCAGAGATACAAGGCCACGTGGAGGGAGAATTGCTACTTGGCATTTTAAAATCAAATGAATGGCTTTTACAAACTTCCACCCAAAATCCTTCAAAAAGGGGTGAGAACAACCCTGACCCCACTCTCACCTTCCACCTGATCAGTCTAAGCTGAATGAAGAGCAATTCTATATGGATACGAGAGGACAGATAAAGTTCAGGATGGGGATGTCCTCACTAGGTCCCCTTACCCCTCTTCAAAATGGCGATAACTGGGTTTGGATTTATTATCCGATTCTTGAATCCCGAAGACCATCCTTAGAGAAAAACATGCTCTTTGAAGGGTGAGGACATGGGGAAGCATGGTATCTTTAAGTAACAAGGGAAGAGAGCCTCTCAAATTAGGAGAATTGGAGAAATGGGCATGCCACTAGGATGAGGATGCAGAGCAGGAGGGCAGGCTGGATGTAACTGTTTTGTCTCGGAGAAAAGTGAAATTTACGCCATGTTGGTCGGCCTTGTGTTGATGCCAGGGCCCCAGACCCCTACCAAGTCTTACTACAGCTAGCCCCAAGTTTCCTTCTTTATCAGGGCAATTAATAAAAAATCAAGTGATTGTTCCTCATGTTGTGTCTTGAAACATACATATGAAGTTCAACCAAATACAGTGTGTCGAATCAGTCCTCCAGGAGGGGGCCTTCCGTCTTCTGGGGAGTCTGTGATAAGATGTGGCTTGGCCCATTGTAGGAGTCCCTGTCAGCTGTGACAGAGCATGTCTTCTCCCAGGGCCAGGAATAAGGCCCCAGGCATTCGGGGTGCGTGTGAGAGTGTGCATAGAAACTGTCACACCCACACCCCACATACCATATCAGGGTGGAGCCATTTGTTGTCCTTACCTTAACCATCTCATCATTTTCTGAAAGGCTGAGCTTTGACGGTGCTGGGTCCCTAAGACCACAGCCCAGAAATGCTCAGCAGACCTAAAGGGCACCTTGCCAACAATGGTTCCCTTTATCTGCCCCTCACATCTGGGGATCTTGGACTCCAACCAGGTCACAGGCATGAATCACATTTATTTCCTAAGGGGACGCAGGGGTCATGTCTAGCCATGTCTGATGTCCAAGCTTGTACTCACAAGCCCACACCACCTACCTATATTACCCTCTTCTGGCATTTTCTCAAGTTGCATAACTTGATCAGGGAATTTGGGGTTAATAATGAGTTACTATATTACTACTTTTCAAAGATAAAATTAAAAAAACCACAACACTAAACATGATCCTGAACAACATTTAATCTCTGATGTTTCAGAAGACACTTTAGGATCTCGAAGGGCCTTAAGGCTGAGCCTTTGATAGTGACTATGATCCTTAGGGTGCTGTGTGGACATGCAAAAGTGTGGCTTGAGGGGAGGCAGTGTGCAGCACAGAATGGGAACCAGGAGCCTCAGCTTTGTTACTATACAGCAGAGTGACCACAGACGAGTCACTTCCCATCCCCAGTCAGATAGGGTTGGATAGGAGCGTCTCTAAGGTCCCTCCCAACTCTGATATTCTATGAATAACTAGCAGAGAACGCATTATGTTGATTTCTCATAGGCATTGAGGAAATTAAAAAAACTTGCTGTAGCGTGGACATGGCCTGAAACAGTCCTTTGGTATTTATAAAGCCTCAGGCTTGGCCTCCCATCTCAGTGTTGGCCCAGTCCTGGGGTCAGTCCTGTGCAGACTGAGATAGGGAGCCGGAAGAACAGGAATATAAGAGTCAGGGACCACCACACGGTGTATTATTGAATTTATCAAGCCCACGGACAAGGACCCTCCCCAGTGGAGGTGTGCCGTTTGGTCCCTTATCCTGCCTTCTCAGACCAACAAGAGCTCTTCTGCTCTCAGTCAACCTAGAGTTTTAGTTATAGGAAAGTGTCCTATCCTTGGGACTGGGGACAGTGAGAAGACAGTGGGGGAGAGATAACAAACCAACTCCTCTTGGCCCCAGGCCCTGTCCACAAGGCCAGAACTGAGAGAGGGATCCACTATGGGCCAGTCTCCATCCATTGCAGGGGTTCTGGGAGACCCACATTTCATGTGATTCTGCATTTGCCTAATGTCTCTGACACACCCATTGTCTCATTTGACCTTTTCTCTCAGGCTTAGTCACTGCTCTCCACTCAGTTCTGGCTAGGCTGAACTCGGCACAATGTAAGAAAATCTCCAACAAGAGCAGAACTCTGAGCAATGACTCCTTGTGTCATATAAATAGCTTTGGTGACAGATACAGCCTATAGTACACACACACACACACACACACACACACACCCTCTTGTGGAAATCATCTTCAGGATGATTCATGCAGGCACTCACTGGCACAACCACTCTAAATATAAATGTATGCTTGGACTCAAATCTCTCCCTCCCCTTCACCTCAGAGAGAAGAGAGCATCGGAGAAAAGCCTACCCCTACCCAAGCCCTGAGTTGTGAGGTGGGAAAGGCTCCCGAGTGGAGCCCTGAGTCTCTTCTTGTGTGAGGGGGGCAGGAGGAGGTGGCAATGGTGGTGCTGGAGCCAGTGCCTACTCCTTCAACAGTCCCAGCTTCTTCAGAGCCTCCCTTCTATGTTCATCAGCGATGCCTTTTGGGGAGATCTTGACACTGACACAGGGGGGTCGAGGCAGCTTGTCACGGCTCTGTCCTTGGTAGGACAGGCCTTTGGAGCTCTGCTTCTGCTCCAGGTCGGCCAACTTTCCCACCTGGATAACTGCAAAGTCCTTCTCCGTGCCCAAGGAGGCAGGGCGGGGCCGGGAATTACGTAAGACATTGGGCGAGATCCTGTCCAGGAAGGAGCCTTTTCCCAGAGAGGTGCTAGTTTGGGGGCTGGGATCTTTGTTGGCCGAGAGGTAACTGCTCAGCCCCACGCCTGAACGCTCCAGAGTGTTGGACTTGAAGTTCATCTGTCTCAGGCCAGGGATGTTGCTTTCCTGGAGAGTCAGCCCTGAGTCTGGCTTTGGCTGAATTAGGGGACTATTTACCCTTGGGGCCTTAGGGATAGGAACTGGCACGGATTTGGCAGCTGGAACCTTCCCTGGAGTGGGTTCCTGGGCAGGAATCAAAACCTTGCCTGAAGAAGATCCCTGAGCTAGAGCCGGAGCTGGAGCTGGAGCCTTCACTGGAGAAAGTCCTTGAGTTGGAGCAGGAGCTGGAGCCTTTCCTGCATCCAGCACAGCTGCAGAGACCTGAGCTGGAACTGGAGCTGGGACAGGGGGCAGCGCGCGAGTCTCCTTGGGTCTGATGGAGCTGGTGGGCTTACTTAAGTGGGGGCTGGGCTCATCTTGGTCCTGGGGTAGCCCCAGCTTTTCCAGCGCCTCTCTGCGGGCTTTCCTCTGCTCCTGCAGTGAAGAGGAGACCAGGTTGGACTCTCCAGGGGCAGCCTCAGAGTGGCGGGACAGCCAGTTCTGGGGATCACTGTGGAAACTGCTTCGGCTGCTCTTCAGAACAATATTAGGTGGCAGCTTCCGGGGCTTAGGGGCTGTGAGGGGAGCCAGTTGGGCATTTGGATCCCCTCCTGATGGGATGGGAGCATTTTCAACTCTCATATTCTGAGACAACTTAGCAGGAGGAGGCTGAGGTTGTCCTGGTCCCATCATTGAGCCTTTCTCATTGGCTTTTTGGGACATGGCCTCTGAAGAAGTCTCCTTTCTCTCCTGGGGGCTGAGTGACGTGTGGAGCTGGGGCGTGTGGCTCTGCTCCCCTGGCCCTTTGGGCAAGCTGTCTTCCCCACACTGCTTGGGCTGGGTGTCCCGGAAAGCCTCCGGTGGGGGGATGAGCGCTGGGTCCAGATCAACGACAGCCTCCCGGGGGCCGGCCAGAGCCCGGCGAGGCTCACTGCTTCGGCTGACCTGCTCTTTCTCAGGCTCTGGGACAAGTCCCTCAGATTCCCCTGGGATGTGGCTATTAGTCTGGGTGGTTCTTCTCCTGAGGTTCTGGTTCCTGCCAATGTGGATATTTCTGGGGAGGCTGTAGGAGCCAGACCTGAGGCCCAGGCCTCGCGGCTCAGGTGGATAGGGTGAGCCGGACTGAGTTACTCTCCTTGGCTGTGGTCCTTGCTGAATGGTCGTCTCCTCTGAATGTCCTGTGAGGGTCCAGGAGAACAGGCAAAGAAGAGTGGACAGAAGTGAGAACTTTGCTGCTGAGGGGAAAGCAAATACTTCTGAAATCTCCAATTAGCAGTGAATGGGTTTTGGTTTTGGTGTTCCTTTGCTCTTAAAGGGGCAGTACTCTTGTCTGGATATCTTTTAGACTAACAGATCAACACTAGCAGATTCCCTTCAACCAAGGATTAATTTTTCACGATGTTTGAGGAAAGGGCAGGATCACTCCATGTCCTTGCCTCAGGCTCTTCCTAACCCTCTACAGATGCACCAAGGTTGGGGAGAGATTCAGGACAGTCCCTCTAGCTATCCTGGGGCTCCCAGGCAACTGAGGCCAACAGAAGCATTGAATGTGAACAGTGTGAACGGGTGATTTGCTCTTGATTTGACCAGGCATCCGCCTTCTTCCACCTTCACTTTCTGTAAGCACCTGGGTGATTCTGTAATGGCTACAGCTGTCCCCGCACTAGAGAGTGACATGGGCTCTTTCTTTCCAGTCAGCTAGGCAGGTGCATCAGGCCCACTGGGCCAAGGAATCAGTCTCGGGCAGCAGTGAAGCCCCAGGTCCCCATTTACTGCTCTATCTCCAGGGAGGGTCTAACACCTCATCAGTAAATATTTACTAAATGAATGAATAAATCATTGCAGTCCTGATACCAGTGGGATTGTCCTCAGGAGTAAAGTGCCCTCCTCACCCTGGGACTCGTTGCCACTCTTATGTGCCATTCTGTTCCCCTTCTACTGATCCTCAACACCACTGGCTCTCCACAACCTCTCACAAGGGCACCACTTGAGGAGCCCTTCCCTTTTCTTATCTTCTGCAGCCTCATCCTCTGGGTAATCCAGATTAGCTCCCTAGACTGACTCAGTCTCTCCAGAGCCATCCACCCACCCCTCCCTGATTCTCTCCCCCACCTCTTTGGTCATATCTCTTTAGAATTTCTCCACCAGAGATGGGAGCTGGTCAAACCCCTTTCCCTCCTAGGCCCCTGATACTTCATAGAAAGACATAGGAAGCTGGCTTGTCAGCAGTCCCTCCTTCCCTCCAGGGACAAGGCTCTATCCTAGCCAGGAGAGTGGAGAGGAGTGCGGTTGTCCCGTGTTCTGCTTGTGACCCTTAGAGCAGAGGGCAAACAAGATGAGAAGTGGCCAGCAGGATGTACTGACTTTCTGGATTTCACTGGAGGTGCTACTCCAGACAGTCTCTCTTACCCTGGGGAGCAGCCTGGGTTATGGGCAGTGCTCGGGGACCTCGAGGAGCTGTAGCTTGCTCAGACTCGTCAGTGAACAGTCCACTGTCAGCCTCAGTGTCCAATGAGCCTATGGTCTCCTCCAGGAAGAGCAGACACTCCTTCTCTTCAGCAGACAGGAAGTCGTAGCTGCTGTCACTCTGGAATGAGGAGAAGAAGGAGAGGAAGAGAGAGCTGTGAGAGGGAGCTCCGCAGAAACTGCAGAAACTGGCGGGGCCTGAGAACCACCCTGCATTGGGGAAGGAATGCTGAAGAGCTGGAAATCTTCCCACAATGCTACCCTGCAAACTTGCTGGAGTTGCTTCCTGAAACTGCAGGCACCAGGGAGGGCAGAGACGGTCAGGCTGTTGTCCAACTAGCACCCATTTCTGGTAGCCAGGCAGGCGGATGGCAAGGGGCCTTTCTTTTGCTCAGCCCTGGGTGGAATGCTTAGGTGCACAGATCAGAAGCAGTTCCAGGTTGTAATTCCTATACTTCTGTGTGACCTATGTCAAGTATTTTAATTTGTGTGTCTCTGATTTAGCTCTAAGTTATATGGGCAACATAATGATTTGACCTTAAACTAGAATGGTATTGCTTTTAACTTTTCAAAGTACTTCTGTATATTTGATCCAGCATGTCAAGGACAGTATGAGGACAAACAGGAAATACAGCCAGCTACTGGCTGCCAGGTCAATGAGAACAGTGGCATGACCAGCCACAGATAAATTCACTAAATAATTTATACTTGACTTTGAAATGCATTCCATACAGGATTTTTTCCCTTGTGTATTTACTTTCCTGATGGCATTTGGATCTGGCTAACATTCAAATAAGTGTGCACTTCTTGAGCAAATATTAACTTAAGGGTGGGGAGGTGGAACAACTTGATCGATATGGGAGAGGGGGAAGCAATCTGGTATTAAATATTAAGTAGATATTAAAGTAAATAATTTTCAATATGAGAAAGCACATAGGAATATTGGGGAGAAAATGCTATGGCCATTTCAGATGGCTACTGCCCATGTTCTACAGGGCCAGGAAGATCCATGGAATAGTCGCTCTCCAAAGTTAAAGGTCGAAGGGAAAACCAAAAGGGCAAATGGGAATATAAGAAATTTGGCCTGAGTCCCTTCCTGGCATCTCCACCCCTCTTTCCAATATTTGAGTCTCTTCAGAGTTGTATATTCTCTAGACTCAATCAGATGGCCAGGAAAGATTTTGAGACAGTTTAAAAATATCCTGAGGGGAAGGGAGGCTGTGGTTGGAATATCCCTTCCAGTTCCCCTGGCTCCTTAAAGAGCTATCTGTCAGTTGACTGATTGAGGCCAACATGTCAAGGGAAGCCCCAAATATAGCCCTTGGAAGCCCTGAAGCCCACGCCAGGACTTTCTTGAACAAAATCTTCTTTACTGACCATTTCCTCCTAAAATAGCTTGCCAGATAAGCCAACTCTGAGTTTCTCCTTTGCAGATGCTTCACTTTGAAAACCTTTAATCCCTGTCATGCTCTGTGTCCAATGGTATGTAACTACTCATATTAGCCTCAGTCTAACAGAAACAGAAAGATGTCTCTGTGGCCCCATCACCTCGGGTCAGAAAGAAATTATATACAGACTGTCTGCACTTTGGGTTTTGTGTGCGTGTGTACACTGCTTTTTCTACTCAAATTTTACATATAAAAACTCATTGACTGTATGAAACATCCTTGACATGCAGTAGAGATCCTTCCAATCCTGAAATTTTCAAATACCTCTATAGGATATAAAGCAGTAAAGTATAAATTCTCAAGGGTTATTATGCATGTGACAAGTACCAATAACAAAGGAATGCTTACAGATATGGGGCAGATTTACTCCTTCACACCAGCCTTACAACAATCGAGATTTAAATTCACGCCCAGAAAAATTACAGTTGATTACATGCCACTCACAAATGTTAAACAGTGACTTTGGAAGGTTCTCAATCTCTGCTCATAGATAGGCTATTTGTTTTCTACATAGAGGCATGTGCTAAGTGCTTTATATGCATCTTATTTACTCCCCCCAAGAACCCTATGAATTCAGTGTTAATACTATCCCCTTTTTAAAACTGAGGAGACTGAAGCTTAGAGAAATTAAGTAATTTGCCCAAGGTCATACAGCTTATAAGTAGAGAACCCAGATTTGTTTGGCTCCAGAACCCAGGCTCTTACTCCCTTCTCTTTGTTCTTTGTAAAAGGCTGAAGTAATGCTGCTCATTGCAGAGAACTTCAGGAATCAGTGTGCTACAAGGATCTATCTTCTAGTTTCCACCAGGACCTCAGATCATTGGTCTGCTCTCTCACCTCAACTCAACCCCGCAACTTAATGAAAACTAGGAAGAAGTCTTATTTGTCCTATTGCTCTCTGGGGTTGTCCCACCCTATTCTCTATAGAACTAGGGGTGACTCAGAGGCAGAAAACACCAATTGGTATGATTCACCCCCTGACAAGGAAGATAAAAGAAAGAGAAAGAGCAGTGAGCAAGGACAGTGGTGGGCAGGGCAGGGCAGGTATGCAGAAAGCGGGCCAGGTGCAGGACAGAGATTACGTACAGATCCAGAGCGGGTGGAGGTGATGCTCATCATGCTGTCGCAGCTGCTGACACGGGTCACAGGTTCCGAGCCAGGCCCCGCTGGCCAGAGCTCCCTCTCGGGCATTGCCCGAAGCAAGGTGCAGGGACGGCGAAAGGGGCTCCCAGAGGGGAAGCGAAGGGAAGTGAAGAATGTCCCAAGCCGGGCCTGAAAAGAGAAGAATCAAAGCCACGTGTAAGCCTAGCCGAGGCTCTGGCAAGGCTCTGCCCAGGCCCTGGAGCAGCATGGCGGCAGGGACACCAAGCAAGCAGAGAGCTGGAAGGGGCCTTGAACAGCCATTACCCAAACCCCCCAGCTTGCATGGAAGGACAATAAGCTGGCTCACATACATGCAGAAGGATGGACTTAGGTGGTGGAGAAGTAGTTTAGTCAGAAAGGAGATTCTATCACTTCTTTTAGTCACTTTTTTTCCTCTGAACCAGAGAGCTTAACCTGCATTCTCATTACTATAAATATTACAGGGGTTAATGGCTTGGGTTCTGGAGGTAATTGAGTCTGGGTTCAAATCACAGTTCAGCCATTTACAGTTATGTGACTTGAGGCAAATTACTCTTTAAGTCTGTTTTCCCTCATTAAATGGGGTTAACGTAAGGATTAAATGTTTGTTAGCACAGTTTAGTTGGTAGTAAATACTCAAACACTTAATGAATAAGTGAATAACTACTACTGTTCTTGTAATAAGAAAAAGACAAGATCTATTTAGGATTAAAATAAATTGAAGTAAGGGAAACAAGAGCTTAGAAAAGGAGGGTTTGGGTTAAATGGGAAACTATAGGCTTGAGAGAAGGGACAGGGCCCTTAATAGTACCTACTTCATAGGGCTGTTGTGAAGCCCTATGATGAAATACTCCATGTAAAACACTTTTTGCAGTGCATGGCCCAGTAACCATTAGCTGCTATCACAGTCAACATCATCACAACCACCACCACCACAGCCACCATCATCACCCTAGTCTAGGAGACACATGCATGGCACCCACAGTGGTTGACACAAACCCAATTTCCCTGTTGTGTATCATGCCCCTCTGATGTCGTACTTATAATGAGGTTCCCTGATCTGTGTCAAATGAACAAGAGAAATGTCCTATGTGGCTTCCTCCCCACTCGACCTCATAGGGGAAAAAAAGTTGCAAGTTCATTGTGCCATTGGTAATAGCAAAGGAAGGCAGTGTCATCTTCTTTCTGAAAATCCCAAGGATCTTCATATGTCTGTTTGTGGGAAACACTCCACCAGAGTTGGAAAGGCCAGAGATGACTCTCCTATGTTAAGATGAAATTCTAGAAGAATTAAGATTAAAAGACAGTTCCAAGGCCAAATAAAGAGTTGGGGGAGAGCTAGAATTAGAATATAGTTTGTCTGATTCTGAATCAGTATTTTCCCCACAACATCATGCTATGTTTCCTGCTCTCCCAATACTAGGTAAAATGTCCTAGAAAAATGTGTTCTATTTGAGATCTTGGGACTTGGAGTTTGGATTCCAGCGCAGGTTGGCCCTTTGACCTCTGCCAATAATTGCTTCCAGCACCAAAGTCAGGTTTGAGCTATGCTGGGTGAGTCAGCCTGCCAAATCTGTAGAACTGACAAGCACAAGGCCTCATGGAGCTCCTCTTCTGCTTGGCAGGAAGCCCTCAAGTGGGACAGGTAGGGAGGGGCAGGACAATGGGGAAGGAAGGGGGAAGATCCCTAATGAGCCAGACACATGTAGTTCATAAGGGTTCAGAGCCTCTCAGGAGATAGAGGGAACCAGAAGTGACAAAGACACCAAAGAAGCCTAATGATACATCAACATCAGGTAAGATAGCTCTTAGAGTTCCTTCATGAGGTTAGTTCCCCAATACTCAGAACCTCAAAGAAACAGAAACATGAGAACTCATGCAGATGAAGTTCAGTCACCTCAGCTATCCACTCCATTAATGACCGTCTAGGTTCGGAAAATACTAACTCATTCCTAACGTTATGTAGGGTTGAGGCCATTACAGCAAAGGGGATCCATGTCCATAAGTCTAGGCATATAGAAGGCATGTAAAAAATGCTGGATGAATACACCTGTCTTCTGTTCTAATGTCCATTGAGTCGAGCTGTTGGAAAGCTTATTTTTTTGGCTTCTACCCTATTACTGTAAGCTATTTCTTAAACATTTCATTTCCCAGAGACTATATATGACTCAATGGAATTTGGGCAATGCTTTCAGTCCAACTAACATTTATGAGCACCTGATAGGTACAGGGTGTGCAAAACTTTATAAGATGAAGGCATTGTCTCCAAGAAGTAAATGTAAATCCAAGGGTCTAGTTTTTGGCTCCAGTTTTCTTATTTGTAAAATCAGGGCAGTAAATATTAAAATTGACTCATTGTAATTAATGTAATATTCTCTGTGAATGGGTGAACAGATGCTGCCTCTTCCTTTCAGAAAATTACTACCCTTGTTCTTCCAAGTACACTTCAGACTTTACAGTGGTTTACTGGCTTCTCCTTCCCCCTAGGGCAGCCTACCACACTCTCATTTTGGAACCAAGGATGGCCTAAAGCAGCTGGAAGAGACAGAAGCAATATGAATAGCACTGCTTCAAAAAACAGCATCGTATAGCTTACAAAGTGCCTTCAGATATGCTAATTAGATCTTCAAAATAACCTGATAACTTAGGCAGGATGTGACATTTTCTTCATTTGACAGATGAGAAAACTGGGGATCTTTCCACTTCCCCTTCCTAAGGGAAGTAGGCAATGACCTAAAACTGTATCTACAAGGCAGCCTGTGGATCCCCGCTCCTCAGAGGGCATCTCAGGGACTGTCCAGAAGCAAGAGGGTCATGTACCTAAAGAAGGGTCATCGGCCACCCTTGACTAAACACTAAAAGCCCTAAGATCACCCTTCTTCTTCTACCTCATACCTTAAACCCTGGAAATTATCTGGTTCAGCTTTATGTTTCCAGGCCAGCTTTTTGCTCCAACAACACATACTGTTAGAGTAAATAAACGACATCAAATGCCATTGAAGATCCCATCATCAGGCGCTACCTAATCACTGCAGAGATAAATCTGAACCTGAAACCAAAGCTGAATGAGCCCTAAGGTACTTGTACCTCATCTCCACACCTTGTCTTCTGACTCAAAGAATCTGAACTGTAAGAAAGTCTTCTCTTCTTCCCACCCTTCCACTCTCCCTCACCACTTGGCCTCACGTGGATGCTGCATTTCCTTCTACCAACTTTACAACCTTGAAACTTGGAGGCTATTTCAGGGAAGCCATCGAAACCTGAGGTATTTCTACCTGATAAGAAGCCTGAGAAACAAGCAAAACACTCAAGATGACAGTTTGGTATCTTTTAACCCTTGACCTCTTTGGGGGACTTGAGGGAAGGAGGGAATGGGTTAAGAAATATGCACAGCCTATAGTCAGGGCCACCCATGCAAAGGCACATTAAATATTAACTACTCCACTGAAACCAGCTAAGACTTGGAGGAGAGTAAATAAACAGCATGTGGAGTTCTGGCATCTGGAGAGGGTGGGGTGGGGAGAGGGCTCCAGTCCCATTCCAGTTTGGCTTCTCTGTACCTTCTAAACAGACCCAAGGCCCCCTTGTCACCCTCCGCCCATGATCCCACCCCCATATCCTCCAAGAGCTCAGCCCCTCTCTCCAGTAGTCAAAGAGGTTTCCTATTGCTCTTAGACTGGATATCTCTGCTTTTTGCTGACTACCCAGAAATGTGCCTTAGGAGAACATCCTAAGAAAAACGTCAGGGAGACGAAAAGTTGCACTGTGTGTGTATCCCTCTCCGTGAGCACATGAGCAAGTCTCTCGGTGTGTTTAGGCAATGTTACAATCTCCTTTTTCACCAGTGGGTTTGAGGGAAAGGGTGGCTGAAATATCCTCTGCACAGAGAGATTTGTTCGACACTGCAAGTTATCACCATCGACGGTAGCCCTCAGTCAGTGAGTTTGGTGGGCTGTTCTGTGGTGTGGGCTAAGCTAACACCTAATGCTCCAGTTGCCAGGACTGGAAATCCAATATATTCACTTAGGGCTTATGTGCACCAGGCCCAGGGAGCCTGGCACTGGGGTCTTCCCACTTCCCTCTCTCTTGCAGCAGGAGGAAAAGAGGCAAAGTGAGGGAGCAGAGCGCTAACCCACCAAGATGGATAACGGAGAGCTGACTTGCTACTCTGACCTGACTTCCACATCCAGCTTCTGTGTACAGGGAAACCTGCCACACAGACTGCTACTGGGAACCTGAAGGAAAAAAGGCAAAACCACTACGGGTCTGGTTGTCCTCTCTGGACTCTGCCACACTGGTTTGGCCTGAGCCCCACTTGGAACTCCTAGCAGACTCCACATGCCACTGTGAAATATTAACACAGATGAGGCCCTGGCAGAGCCGAGTAGATTTTTGTTTGCCAGTCTCTGTGTCTATTAACAGGTAAAGTCGGAAAATTAATTGAGTTGAACCCAAATAAACCCCGCTTTGCAACCAGATTATCCATGGGTTTTCTAAGGATGAGCTGGTAGCCTGAGTTGGAGTTTTCCCCATGTAACCAAATCTCATACCGCCTTATAAACGACCTAGTACAGCTCACACCTTACACAGCTGTCCACTGAGAGCTCCATTATCATACTACCGTTATGGAACACACACACTGCACCCTTTATTCAAATAAAGATAGACATTGAGTTTATAAAGCCATGGGAGAATTTCCTGTTAGAAATGCAATGGAAGACCAAAGCACTCTTCTCCCCTGGGCAACCCCCTGTTTTGACTCCCTCTACTCCAACTATTCTCTTCCAAAATTGCAACTCAATTTCAATTGCTCAGAGATGGAAATTTCCAAAACAGACCTATTTTCTTTTCTTATTGTCTGCATTATATGCTTATCCAACCTAAACAGGCAGATGAAAAAAAAAAAAAGCGTTCCAGCTCTGGTCTCCACAAAAACACTCCAATCTCAAGAAGCTACCAACCTGCTCTGATCCCAGGCTGGACTCAGAGAGTTGAGGAACACAGAGGAAAGCCCCTAGCTGGGGCTTACAAGCCTCCCCACAACCCTGCAGCTGCCACTTCCCACAAAGCCCCCGTCTTGCTGCAGAATAAGCAATAGTTGGTTAGTGATTAACTCACCTTCACTGGGTGGGGGCTGAAGAGAGAAAAGGAATACCCTTATATTTCAAAGGGCAGAGACAGAGACAGAGCTGCTTCCCCTGCCGCCTACTGTTTCCTCCTTTTGACCTCCTCCTGACTTACCTGGACAGGTAAGTGCTTCATCTGCGCTGCTTAACCCACCCTGCCACTGCCTCTCAGCCAATCCTGGCCTTCCCTCCCTGCTTCTCATTCCAGCTGTTTCTCCAGGGAGGGTGTGGGAGGGGAATGGGCAGGGCGGTGCTCCTCTCAGCCAATCATCTCTTGCCCTCCCCTTCCTCTGCTTAGAGCCAATAAAGAGCCCTTAAAAAAATAAAAAAGGAGGGCTGGGAGGAGGAGGGACAGGTTTGGGCTGACACTGAAAGAAGAGAGTTGGCAGGGAGGGAGTAGGCAAAAAATATTATTATTATTAAATCTTGATATAAAGAAACACAGTCCACTGGGCAATATGCTTTTCTATGCGTCTGTTTGAGACTATCTAGAACCGCCTCCTTCCACTTGGAGCTAAGTATTCCTCTGAATTCTCCAAGTTAAAATCCTTTGTTGCCAGTTTTGCTAATAGCTTTTCTAGCCATTCAGAATCACTTTCATCCTTAAGCCTTTTCCTTGCAGCTCATAATTCCAGCAGTTCCACTCAGGACAGCTGAAAAAGGTGTCTAAGGCTAGGGGTGCCAGAGCCGAGACACCCTTGCCCCACTGCTTGCCAACGACCTTCTTGGCCTCATTTATTTCTGGGGGAAATGAAACCATTTTCTGCCCCACGAGGTCCCTGTCCTGATGAAAAAGTGACTGGACAGCCTTGAAGGAGGGAAGATGCATGCTGTCATTTGGGTCTCTGGTCTCTTTTAGCTGTTCATGGAAGGTAGTAATGAATATTAAGAAATAAAAACAAAATAAGTTACCAACCAGTTTAGCAACTCCTGTCTCCTTCCACGGGCAGATTTTTGGCACCTGTAGTTAAAACAACCTGAAGAGAGTAGGGAGAGAGGAGTAGGCGGAAGAATCCAATGCTTTCAGGAAGAAATCTCCCTTCAAGTAGGGAGGCCACTTTTACCAGATATGACTTTTCCTTAGAAGCTGGTTTTTCCTGCATATAGGTTATCCTTGATACCAAAAGAGCAGAAAGAAAAATTAAAATCACTGCACATAGTAATTGCCAACATTTATTAAGCTCTTGCTATGCACTAAGTATTGTGCCGTGCTAAGCACTTTCGTGCATTATTTCATTTAATCTTTATTTCAACTTCAAAAAGTAGGCACTGTTAATATACCAATTTTTACAGGGAGATTAAATAACTTGCCTCAAATCACGTAACTAGGAGGTGGCAGAGCAGGGATTTCGATTCAGGCAGTAGGACATCAAGTTTGCCATGCACAGTATAATGCCAGTCAGCCTCTATTTTGAAGAATATCCAAAGTAGGAAACATGAAATATACAGATAATTTGCAGGTTCTAATTCTAATAATTAGACTCATCCTTTCTCATGACATTTCTGTCTTGTAGCTATTCATATCTTTTATAACAAGATGACACATGTCTTTCATTTTTCTCCTTCTCTGATCATAGTTGGGCAGGAAATAAGAAGTGCAATGATCCTGGGTCCAAGGTAGAGAAGAGGTGGGGCAGGACAGGGAGGAGGAAGGAGGTTTGAGGAAGCCTGGGATAACCCAGTATCCTGTCAGCAGCATATAGAAAACAGAGGTGACTGAGTGTTTAAGGGCAATGACCACTCTTCCTGATGTGTCATTCAAACACGAACAATGTCACAATACTAACAAAACAGGAAAGGCATCTCCAAATCAGGAGTTCAATGCAACTAGAGTTACACCCATGGATGTGATTTGAATATTTGCTTAAAAATGAATTGACTTAGGAGCATTAACCTCAAAGATGATAGTAGGCACAGTCTTGTTTGTGAACAGACACAGTTTATCAGTTTATAATGAAATTAGGATAATTAGGAAGGGCCCCTATGTTTTCCTGGGTAGATACAGGAACATAGGCAAAATGATCTTTCTGTTCCTCTCTTTCCTTTTAGACATCTCTTTTTGAAAATTATGAAATATTTCAGATACTCTGGCATAACAAACACCACTGTACCTAACACCTAACATTCTATTTTCTGTTAAAAAAACAGAATCTTGACACTACAATTGAAGTTGCTTACAAGCTTCACCCCCCCCTCCCACCTCTTGGCTCCTCAAAACACACATACACCCCAGCTGAAATACATCACTATTCTGAATTTGGTGTTTTTTATTCTCCATATCTTTAAATGTTTTCCTTGGAATCTTTCTTGTTTTTGCTTGGAAAAATATCAAGTCTCTAACATCAAAGTTCCAAGAGAATTGGGGAGGAGGCCTAGACTAGGGAAAAGAGAGAACTTCCAAAGTCATAAATACCTGAAAGACTAAGGCTTCCCAGTTGATGTGGGTCATCATTTAAGGAGGAATGTGTGTCATTGCTCCTTGTATATGAATTCCTGTTTGATGACCTAACTGTGAAATCTAATTACAGTCCAGCTCACCTGACTCATCTAAGGCCTCACTCCTCTGTCCTCGAGTGCTGTTGTGGTGCTGTCATCTCCTTGACTGTCAGAAACTGGTTTACTGTTTCCTTTCTAAGTACACCTCCCCACTGAAGCATCTGACTTCCCCTACACAGTGCACTTCCCCTACACACATACACACACCACTTCAAAACTGAAATATACCACAGACAGTCATTGGCCAATCTTTTCTCTTTGGGCCCCTTATAAAGTTGGACTCTGCAAAATAGAGTGAACCTCTATTTTAACCATTCATGATACTTATTCATTCACATTACAGTCACATCCTGTTAGTGTCTTTCTTCTCCTTTTCTCTCCAAAGAACAAATGAAGTTACTTTGAACAGGTGTCATCACCATCCCTAGGAAACACTGGGTGCCCACTATGTTCATGGTATTGGATGTGACACTATACTCTGGGTCTCTGAGGGTACTTCTGACATCAGGGAGAGGAAAGGTTTTGCTCCTCAAGTAGTAGCAAGAACTTGCTTTAAAGAGAAACAGCTGCAGAAAGATGCAGATGATTATAATTTGGCTATAAGCCATGGAATTGATAGATCAGATTAAGACATCAAACAGATCACCAAGTTCTCACCAAAGTGATATCAGTGCTAAGCCTAAAATAATTAGATGGGAACTAAAGGGTGTAATTAAGTAGATTTTGATGAAGGAATTCTGAAATTACTTAATCATTAAGTAGTCCCTGGGAGCAGTTTTTTTTCTTTTTTTTTCTTTCTTTTTTTGAGAGCAGTGTTTCTTTGGCCCACCTACCATGGAAATTGGGAGGATTCAGCTGTCCTTTTCCTCCCAGTGCTAATAAAAGCTTGAGGGCTGAGGCAGTTTATTAGCATCAGAGAGTTTTATAAGGAACGTCAAATCTTAACATGTGCAAAATTGAACCCAGCCTGCCCCTACCTCTCAAACTTGTCCTCTCTCCTCCATCCCCATGCCAGCTAATTGCATCATCATACCCATTCTCAGCCAGACTCAATACTTCACAGCAATCCTCCTGTATCTCCTGTGAGATTACTCTCATATCTGTTTCCACCTCTTCATCCTCTCTACTCTGGTTCAAGACTTCACTATTTGTAGGATCGTGGACCATTAAAGTTGGAAAAGACTACAGAAATTCCTTGTTTCACATCTTCCATTTTATAGATGCACATCTGAGTTGTCATTCTTCTCAAAATACTTTGATTTATTTTCATAGCATTCAGGATGAAATTCAAAGTCCCTGTATGATGTAAAAAGACCTTCATGAGCTGGTCCTACATGATTCTCTTATCACATACTCATCCATATTCTTTACTGCAGTCACGTCTAATTTTCTGACACTGCCATGCTTTCACGCTTCTGAGCCTTTGCACATGCTGTACCCTTTGCTTGAACCCATTCCCACCCTGTCCTCCTGGCTTAGTCTTATCCTTCCTTCAAGGTTCAGCTCCAGCACCACCTTCTTTTGGAATAGGGTGTTAGGTGCTGCTTCACTGCAATCTCTTAACACAATGTACGTGTCTCTAGATCTAACCAACTAGGATGTAACTGTCCTCTCTCTCTGTAACATTTGAAATCATGAAAGGTATCAAATTTTTCTATGTATAACTCTCCTATCCTATTGTAGTCATTATATATTAATTCCAAAACCAATGATGAACTTTTGGGCAACTGAAGTTCTTTACTTAAGAAACTTGCCCTAAAAAATTCTTTTTTTGACATCTTTCTGGTAGATAATCCATGCAACAATTTTGCATATTGTTTTTCCCAAATCTTGTCTTTTGACATACTATTAAACTGTGGCTTACTCTTAGAAGTAATAGGCATTGGCTCATCAGAATTGTTTTCAGAGGTTTTTGACCTTTTGATGTCATGAATATACTTATGAGTCTGAGATACTATGAAGGCCCCCAGTTGGTGATGCTTTACATTGTAGTGAGTTAAAACATATCTGGCAAGGGGCTGACTGATTTCCTTTATCTTTCTTAAAATGCTTCTAACATTCTTTATGTTCTTTACTTATTATTATGGGTATCTAAAAATTGTTTAATAAATAAGAAATATCAGTTTTAATAGTATTTACAAAAAACTGTAGCTTACAGCAAATATTCAATACTAGAAAATGCCAGGGAACATTCTTGAATAACATTGGATCTCCTAGCAAGCTCCTGATAGCTGTACACAGAATAATTTGTTAAAATTGCCCATTTAAGAATTTATTTTGGGGCTGGCCCTGTGGCATAGTGGTTAAGTCCAGCGCATTCCGCTTCAGTGGTCTGGGTTCCTGGGTTCACACCCTGGACATGGACCTACACCACTTGTCAAGCCATGCTGTGGCAGTGACCCACATACAAAATAGAGGAAAACTGGCACAGATGTTAGCTCAGGGCTAATCTTCGTCAAGCGAAAAAAGAGGAAGATTGGCAACAGATGTTAGCTCAGAGGGAATCTTCCTCACCACCCAAAAAAAGAAAATTTATTTTTCTTCTTAAACTTATTTCTTGGAACACTCTTCATAGAATTTGCATTAAGTATACAATAATGTATTAATATTTATTTTATTCACTGTTAGCAGTAGACAAGGCCATGGAATACACACTTATAATATGGCAACAGTTATAAGCAAGACAGATTGATT